AAAAAAAAAAAAAGAAAATAATATTTATTTTTGCTAATATTAAAATAACCTGAGGATTAGCCCTGGTAAAGACACAGCCTTAGCAAAATATACATACATTGAAATGTGCAAATTAAAACATGCTAAAACTCCCCACGGCCTGGTATAATGGAAAGAACACTGAACTAAGAATCAAAAAATCAATTCTCAACCCTGGCTTTGCCACAAAATTGTCATCACCTTGGGCAAGCGATTGAAATCTTTGGGCTCTGTTTTTGATCTATTGAATGGGATGATTTAAATAGGTCAGCAGTTCTCAAATGTTTTTGTTTCAGTGCCTTTTACACTCTTCAAAATCACTGAGGACTCCGAAGACCTTTCATTTAGGTGGGTTGTATCTATCAATATTTAACATATTTGAAATTAAAATATTAATTTTTAAATATTTATTCAAAAATAACAATAGTAACCCATTACACGTTAATATAGACTCAGATATTTTTTATGAAAAATGATTATATCTTTAAATCAAAAAATAATAATGAGTAATATTTTTTTATACTGATGTAAATCTCTGTAATGTCTGGCTATATTCTTACATATTCTTCTTCATTCAATCTTTTGAAATATATTGCTTTTTTTGGAGGATGTAAAGAAAATCCAACTTCACACAGATAGTTGGAACAGTGGGAGCTACTTAATAGCCCTTTCAGATAATAGTGGGTATTCTTTGATACTACACCAAAACTCAGCAAGTAGTGGTTTCTTAAAGGTTATTGCACTATGGAACCTGAAACTGTATCAAGGAACTCCCATGCTGTTACATTAAAATCCATTGCTCTATCTGGCATTTTGAATGGATCTTTTAGCCTTGCATGATTTTGTATCATTATACTTCAGTCACTCGGAAAATGATGGTTCACTGGGTCATGCAGACCTTGCAAATGTACAGTGGAAATCTCCCTTGTGCATTCATGGGAATGAGAGCGAAAAAGGTAACTAACATTATGAAAACGGTCGTGACCTCACAGACCACCCTGAAAAAATCTAAGGGTACTCCCAGGAGTCCCCAGACCACACTGAACCAGATCAGCTCTGAAAGATTTTGTAACTGTGAAATGTTAGATTTCCATTTATTCCCCTCCTGAATATTCTCTTGGAATAAGTAGGCACCTTTGCTAATTCAAGGGCTACTGAAAATACCACAATAAGTGGAGAAAGGATTTGTCTCTTAAATCTAAAGGGTTTTGTGTTTGTTCTTTTTTGTTCATTGTTTTGTTTGAAAGAGAGGAAGTTTAAGATGACAGAAACTGGGAGGAATGGTATTCACTCCATTAATAGCAGAAGATCTTGAATTCAAGTCTCTGTGGCCCTCAGACCATGAGAGGTTTGGAATATAGTGTGTGATTAATTAATGGACAAGACATTAAATGGACCAACTAAGCAATTTGAAGCA